GAGATGTGAAGAATGGAAGAATGAAGAGGAAAAATCATTCTGAGGCCTAGTTCAGACCTTTTAGTTACTAGACAGGTCAGCTTTGCCAAGACAATGACCTGATTCCTTGGCTGCTGGCATACATGGTGCCTGTTTTTTCTAACTGGGCAAAGCAGTAGCACAGGCTGGGGAGCAGTCATTTTTGTTTGATTCAACCATGATGCACAACAGCCAAGGGGCTCCTCGCAGGCCCCAGCAGTGAGGCCAGCCGGGAGTGCAGTTCTGTTATTGTAGCCGGAGGCCCACTTCCAATCCAATTACACACAACAGCTGTGCTACCTCCTCTTTTCCATCCCCTTTGCTTCCTCTGCTATGTAATTCCAGGATAGGTTTTGTCATTATCGGGAGCAGGGAGTCAGGGAGAGTGGCACCTACTCTGAGTGATCAAAGGAATAAGAGCATGAGGTAGAAGCCAAAGAGAAAGTCATTTACCCCAATATCTATGGGCAGAAATAGTGACCAAAGCATACTATCTCCTTTCTCCCATGGCAGAAACAGTATTCTGACATTGCATGTGGCTTATTCCTAGAAGTATTCACAAAGGAAGGGCTACAAACATGGTGGCATTTGAAAGCATGAAAATAAACATGCAAGTGTTCACAAAGATGGCCACACACACAAGAGAACATGTACAGGTAGCAAGACTTGAGGGTGAATGCACTTTATGGCTGACCCATAAGAAGATGTGTATCACTACAAATCAGAGCACCTGATCAAGTAGGTGCACAGTTGGGAAAAGAACTGTTAGGCACAGAATAGAATTCTTCAGCTTGAAAAAGACATCTCTGACAATATATATGAAAGAGGTAAAATCCCAAATAACACAGAGCAGGTGAACAGGAATTTTTTTTTTTCCCCTATTTGTCGGAACACAAGTAGGAGTCACTGAATGAAATTCTCAAGGAACAGGTGTAAAAACAAGTGAAAGAAAGTACTTTCCACATTTGAATGATTAAACAATGGGACTTATTATCACAGGATACTGTGGAGTTAAAAAATATAAGTGGATTAAGAAAACAAAAACCGGACACATCCAGAGAAAATATGTCCATCAATGACTGTACAACATCACGATCTGGATGCAATATCAGGTCAGAAAGTCCTTAAAAACAGTGACTACCAGAAACCACAAAGGTATATCAGGACAAGACCAATGCTAATGTAGTTTCTTAAACTTCTTCCAAAGCATCTGCTTTCGTAAAGAGACGCTTCTGGGCTAGATGAATTCTTGCTCTGACCACAGTGATCACTACTGCCATGTTGTTGCAAATGGGTGTGCATGGAGCTGAAAAACACTCACACTTCAGATCAGATTTGGGGGGCAGTGCTTTGCAAAGGGTATTCAAGAATGAAAACAACAGTGGCACCTATGAAGAAGAACATAAGCCTGTACAAACTGGTTTCAAACACCTGTGAGAGTGGCACTGAAGATACGGCATGGGTGGATTCTTACTCTGACCTAGAAACTTCTGCAAATAGGAAACTTCAAATGGGCTGAAACACAATTCACACATTGTCATGCCCAAAAAGCAGAGTTCAGCTTCAAGGAAGCAGAAGCCAGCATACAGGTACTGCTTAAATGACCCTATGACATGGAGTTAGGGAGACAGACTAAAACAGCAGTGCTGAGATGAAGAAGGCAAAGAAGCATTAAAAGATGGAATTTGAAAGATTAAAGACCGATCAAAAAAGAGCTAGTATGCTTGTGCCTTCCAGGATCTCTGGATCCTTATGAAGGAATTGTTCAGGCAAACAAGGACTAATTTTTCCTTAGGGCCCCAACTAACTAGGTCATTTCTACTGGGTTGTGTCCATTCAGTTATGTGCAAACTCTAGTCAGCAGTAAAATCATAACAGCAAAATGCCTAGAACTTCATCTCTTAGCCCCCTCCCCATGAACATCTGAAGATCTCTCCCACAAAGGAGATAAGCGTGGCATGAATAGGAAAAGCACTATATAAACTTCAACACCCCCCAGGTATCAGTACCAGTCACCATAATATCAAGGACCCATATTTAGTTCTTTCTCTTGCATATATTCTTCCACTAAAAAAAAACCTAAGTGAGATAGAAGAATATCACTTGCTCCTTGATCTACTGGTCTTTTCCCAACAATTTGTCTTTCAGAACCTAGACCACTGGCAAAGAGTAGAAGGTGCAAAGAAAGGGGCAGATATTGTGCAGAGGTGGCGGAGGCATCCATTCTGGTCTGTGCTGCACACCACTCCCCAGCCAAGACACTTAACCTCTGTAGTAAGGCTCTTAACCTCCATAATGTTCAGCCCAAGATCTCTAAGCACATTGTGAAGGTGAGGTGAGTACTTAAGTACTGAAAGGTAAGTTATTCCTCCTCTACATGACACAGCGAGTCAGTGACCCAGCTGAGTACAGATAGCAACAGTCCCAGCTCCAGGGTCCTGCTCTAAATGCTTGACTTTGCTACTTACGATGTGGTGGTGTTTTTTTGTGACCGGGGACATAACATTTGCAGGGCAGCTGGGCTAACATCTGACAAACTCCTTTCATTTGTGCAATAAGCCAGACAGGATCTTCAGTTGGTTCTTAAAAGGAGTATAGCACACCACCCCCTGTTGCCAGAGTACCCCTTCTTCACAAGCAGAGAACTCGCAGCCAGGGAAGGTTCATACTACACATTTCTGGTTACTTTGAACAAGACCAACTTCTTTGCACCTTGCAGGAACTGCACCCAGCAGAGCCCTGTGGTCCCCACTGCTGCCAGCCCCAGCCTATTCACAGCTACCTTCTCTTACTGGGGAATTTGTTCTAACCAGTCTGTTCAACAATAAAAATTAATCAGTTAATCAAGGGGCTCTTTACAGCCCTTCTGCTACCTGTGGGAAAATAGTTACCACTAGCTCATAAAATCCCTAATTTGTCTTGCAAACAGTGGATGGTTAAAGTAACCATTTTGACAGGGGCCTGGGGCTCTGTCCTCACAATACAGATAGCTGGATGGCCAAATAGGAAGAAACCTCTGCACAGCCAGGCAGAGGGGAAGCGCTCACCCAAACCCTCCTGGTGGTCCACGTTGCTGCCCAGTCACACAGCAATGCCAGTGTCCTCCCCGGGGGAGGGAGCTGAGCAGAGGGATTAGACTGCATAGGAGTAAACAGTTAGAGTCCAATAATGAGGTGTGGGTAATTGTCAGACTGAAAACATACAGATTAGTGTGAGAGCACATGGAAAAGAACATTCACATGTGAGTAGAAATCCATGTGAGAAAGCACACAGCAGTCCTGAGAACAAGACCACATGTGTATGAGCAATGGAAGAACAAAAAATGCACATCCAAGCATATAAATTATGAGAATAGGAGGGCAGTGGGGCAGAAGAGCCCATTCAGAGAGGAGAAGGATGAACCACTTCAGGGTGCCCACAGTAACAGCAGCATGGTCCTGTACTGGTTGTGCCACCTCTGCTTGGGGCCCTACTAGTCATGCTGTCATCCCCTGCACACTGTGCAGGCCTTAGAGATGGCCCTGATATTGTTAGAGGCAACACTCATTTATGGCATAATATCATGAGTCCTACTGGTAGAGCATAGCAAGGCCAGGCATTCCCAATTCAACCATCCTTCTCTGCCACAGACACCAACAGCTTCAGGATGTGGTGGAGAGACTTGTGACCCCGAGCCCTTGGTGCGTGTCCTGTCAGATCCTGCCAAGATGAGAAGAGACAGGAGTTCCTGAACACCTCAGACTGGGGCAGAGAAGGTGCATGTTCAGCCCCGTGGGTCACTGAAAAGATTCAATGTTATGGTTGACAGAGCCTTTCTTTCCAAGGCATGCCAGACAACATTTGCCATTTGGCCACTTCCATCTCCATTGTTGCCAGCTGAGATGCACACAGAATGCAGGGGACCTCAGCAGAACAAAAAGGGGGCTGACAAGAGAAGCCAAAAGGCTAAATATGCAGGGAAATTACCCAAGCGGCTGGCCCTCACTGCGCCTCTCCGAAGTGTTTCACAAAATCTGATTATCCAAGTGTAGAAAAGAAGCAAATTGAACTGAGAACTCATTCCAGGTCCAGGTCAGGTTTAGCAAGAATTATGCAGAACATTGAGTAGGAAAAGAGTCTTGATGTTCCCATCATCCCACTCCAGCCAGGGCAATGCCAGCTGCTTCCCTGGGCTCTCACTTTCATTTCACATAATGATAAACCAGGAGGAGCTGCCTGAGCGTGAGGTAAAAATTAGTTCCTTAAGCTTCAGCTGCGACAGGATGTGGACTACAGCGTAAGGTGGTCTGGTTCGATTAACCCTTGTAGCTGAAGTTGGGGGACTCAGATCCTTCCGGCAATGAGGGAGCAATCTGAGAAGGGAGGTTTGGAGTTCTCCGTGGTAAAATACTTCCTTGGGGAAGAAGTCCCCAAATAAACAAGCACATAAAGCACATGTTCTTTCTTCCTTTTAAATTAATCACTTGTGCCCTGTCAGGAATTAAAGTTTTGATACCTAAATAGGATCACACATTCACATTCAGACAGAAAGACACTCACTGGTTTTTAAAACCTAAAATAAAACAACAACAAAACAAGCCTTTGTTAGTGGAAATGAAAATCAACAGGTAATCAGTGAGACTAGCAAATGGAATAGACTGCAGTAGCAGAAGGAAAATGACCAAACTAGATTTGTATGCCAGACTACACACTTATATATCAGAAATAAACTGTATATAATGCAATGTTCAATGTAATTTTCATTCAGAAAACATCCCTTTAACTGACCAACACAATGTAATCTCTGAAAAGGGAAGCTTGCGACCTTTGCTACTATGAAGCCCTCCTTTTAGCAAAGACTTCGCAGTCCAGACCCTGTGATGTCCAGTATGAAGGCTTGTTCTGTACACTCTCAGGAAGCAGGATGAAATTTCTGCCCCTAGTAACTGCCCACCACCACTCCTTAAAGAACAGCCTTTCAGCTCAGCAAAAGCAACACTTACCTGGAATATGATTGACATCTGTTGAGTTGTTTTCATGGCAAGCAGAAGGGAGAAAAGGAAAAGAGAGAGAGAGAAGATAAAAAAGCCATTAGAGATGCACACAGCAACTCAGTATCCTTGCATGGAAATCAATTTCATGCAAAACCAGAAGTAATTAGGTTTGTTTGAAGGCCACCCATCTGCAGCCAAGCACCCAGCCATGCAAGGGAGGAGGCACTGGCTCCCTCTCCACTGTGCATGTAAAAGTAAATCCACCATCATATCTGTCTGGAGAGAGAGTTCCTGGAATCAGATAGAACCAAGCCACATCAGTTCCTGTAAGAATATTGGTTAAAATATTCTACTGTTTTTCACACACAAATGCAAAAGAAAGAAACAAAAACCAACCTGCCTGCAGTAGGTTTCTATTGCACATAAATTCAAGCAAGTTTTCAGAAAAAAGAAAAGAACCTGCTCCCCTTTTGTGAGGGGCCATGTGAATTTATGACCAGGTGCAAGACACTCAATATAGTCCCAAGTCTAGAAGAGAGCCCATTCCTTTTCATTCCTCCTGCCCATCATTCCCAAAACAACATCCTTCATTGCAGACAGCAGCAGGGGTGGGGGAGAAGTGCCAGAGGCTTGCATGTCCCACATGTTGTCTTTCCACAAGATGCTGAATTCAGACCAAATGTCAGTCAATATTTTTTTCTCTTTGTGACATAAGACCACTTTTCAGAATCAATCACATAAATCCCAGAATAAATTAGTCCTCTAAAAAAGAGAGGAGCAAGACTATGTAACTGATAGTATCAATCACAGAAAAGGCATATCTGTGAATGTAGTGCCTGTTTTGGGCAGAGCCCACCAATCCCAGAGCATGTGCTTTAAAAAAATGCCTCTCAATTTTTTTAGCATCCCAAATTTAGTCTTGCTCTGAATAGCTACACGTATCGTAACACCATGAGGGAGGAACCCCTGAAATCTCACGGGATTAGACTAGATCAGTATTTTCCTTCCAAGGCAGCCCTCCAAAATAAAAAAATGAACTTGCTTGAGGAAACAGTGGGGCCAGGTCCCGACGTAGCCTTCTTTCCTGAAGGCTTGCACCTTGCCCAGAAGTTGTGCTGCTGCAGGCATCATCTTTCCAGTAAGACTTCAAAGCAATACGTTAATGATTTGGACTACTACAGGTCCTGTCCCACTTCTGCCACAAGTCTAGGAGCATGACATGCTGGGTGCTTTCGCTACACACCAAGGTCTAAGAATGCATTCTCCTTCCCCAAATATCCCCTCCAGTTTCCATCAGTATTCCCCCTTCCTGTCCAAACCAGCTGTGTTGCTGTGAAACTGGTGCCACTTGTCTTCTCAAGACACTTGCATTTCAGTGGTGAGTGATTCCTGTGCACGTTGCTTTTTGTTTATCACCTTCTGTTGCTTTTTGTTTATCACTTTGTAATGGCTCCAGAATAATTTGAGGAAAAGTCCCTGTGGTACATCACACATATATCAAGCCATCCTTCCCCAAGGAGGTAATAACCCAAATAAAACAATGCACAAAGAGGGGAGGGACTGTTGCATCAACTCATTTAATTTCCGTAGCTTCTACTAAACATATATGTCAGATCTGATGAGTGTTATTTGTTGCCTTTCCTGTTTTAACACATAATTGTATCTAAGAACTGGAGTCTTGGCATGTAAGCCTGGAAAGACACTTAGCACTGAAAGTTTGCCTGAAAGTAATTATTTTTAGGTAGAAAAAGAAAACAATTGTCAGGCAGTGATGCATGCAATGAGGATGGAAGGCAAAAGGAGGTGAGAGCAGGGGCAGAAGGAAGGAGCAGACCCTTAAACACCACTGTAGAACGTGAGCACTATGCCAAAGAATTTACAAGTCCACAGCTAGGACCTGAGATGTTGCTTGGGAAAATCAGTGGCAGTCAGAGATGATCACACGTTTCAGAAGAGGAAGAAGGGAGTACCATAAGGTACTGCAAATGTTTCTGATAATCCAGCAGCTGCCCGAAAGCCTATGCTAAGCAGGTACAAAGCTCTAGATCTATGTTGTCCTCTCAGCCTCCCTGCATACCTGACAAAGGAGCGGGCACAGCTGCAGCCCCAGCTACCTCGGGCACCCAGGAGCAGCATGCACCCTCACCAGAATGTCTGTGCTCCAGGAGAAAACCTGTGGGATGTTTAGGGAATAAAAAAGATCAGCAGACAGAAAGGGCAAAGGAAAGAGCTAACCAAGGGTGAGCAAGGGATAAACACATTAAGCAAGTGAGAGAAGAGGCAGTGGGCTGTAACTGATACACTGCTTGAAATAATACTTATTTAACTGTGCATGAATTAAACAGGTCATGAAGCTGTTAAACAGGGGAACAATGAAGTGTTAAGAGCTACACAAGCTTCTCTAAAATGTAGTTTCTCAGTGGCAAGTAAGAAAGGGCAGACAGCAAGGGGATTTCCTTTTACCCGTATTTTTTTTGTCCAATGTCCCTAAGAGCAGGCATCCTCAATGCTCACTGGTTTTACTCTTAGCTTTCTTTTTGCTGTATCTTTTTTGGAAAGACTCCACCCAACACAATTTCTGTATACACTAGTTGCATCAGAGAAGTCACTGTTTGCATCTCTGTGACACTTTTGCAGTAACCTATGCGGCAGCCCAGGTGATTAGTGTTACTTCCCATACTAAATACAAAGGGAGTTTCTTGTACTGCAGACACCCCCCCCATGTGGTATCTGCTAGCAAATGCTGATTTTCAAGTGGTGAAAGTACTTATTTTTTATTTTAAAACACACATGAGAAAGCACTGTTTTCTTTGTGAAGACAAAAGTGGCATATAGCCAGTCAGTCCTCACAAAAGACCCTACAATAAATACCACTGTGGCACACAATTGAAACTGCCATGCAAGTCCTCATGGGAAACCCCGAGACACCTCTGCAGTGTGGTGTGCCACTCCACTGTGGTGCACAATTAAAACTGTAGTTGCATATATTGACAAAGGGTACCCTTAATAAGAAACTTCTGATGCAGTACCTTATGGCTGGTGGCTCCACAATTAGAAGAAATCTAATGCCTCAAGAAAGGTTGAAGATAGAGATGGCAAATCGGCAGAGTGACCAGATTTGGGGAGCTGAGTTGACTCTCCTTCAGTCCCTATCATCCAAGATGTTCTCTCAAATTCTCTTCATGTTCTTCTGGTTTGTCTTCAGAAGGACTGTTTAAAACAAGTTCCTACTCTCCCTTCCATCAGCACTACCTTCCTCCCCCACAGGGACCTCCTACCTGCCCCAGGGACTGAGGAGGTACAGCATTCCCCCATTAAACAGGGAGTGTGCAGAACCCACGGCTAACAAAAAGCCCAGTGACCATGCGACTTACTGCCATGCAGATGGAGGTTTCTCCACTTTCTCCAGCTCAGAGCACTTCAAACACAGAAAGGTCTGCCTCTTAACAAAAGACAAGGCAGAGTTTGCTTTATCCTATACACAAGAGTCCATTTATTGCTCCTTTGTAAAGGGCTGAGCCGCAAGCCGGTGCTGTTTGCTTTCGTTCCTTGATGTTAATAGCTGGGTTGAAAGAGGGATCAGCGGGGCTGCTGCCTTTGTCTGGTGCAGCCCCAGCCATCTGGGTGGGGTGGAAGGGGAAGGAGAAGGATGAAGGGGAGCAGGAGGAACAAAGCAAACATTATTATAGCTCAGGTCATTCCTGTGCCTGCAGAGGAAACATCTGAGGTATTTTTAACTCTAACATTTTTAACAAGAAGTTTAGCAATAAGGGAAGATGTGATGGGAGTACACTTCTCTCTCCAACTGGAGACAAGGACAGCACAGACTTTCTATGCACACCAGCCCTACCAGTACACATCACTTTGACCTGAAGAGACCTGCTTTCGACTCCCATCTCCATGGTCCATTCAATCTTGTACCCTGCTTTGATGGGCTGTGGACACCCATTTTCTGCCAGCTAAACTGAGACCCACTGACGGAATTCACACATCCCAAACCAGCTGTTGGGCAGAAGCATCCTAGGCTAAGTGGAAATAAGCACCTTGAAGTGAATGGCACTCTCTTGTGCTACGAGTCCCTCAAGCTCTCTGGCATCCTCCTCCAGGGCTCTCTAGTTACCCTCTCCCTGAATGCCACTGTGTGGAAATGACTGGGGAGCAGGCAGAAACTAGGGAGAGGAGGAGGGCAAAAGTTAAAACACTTAAGAGGCATCTTTTTGTCATTGGAGACCCACTCCCAAATAAGAGGAGATCCTGCCTTTAGACAGGAAAATGACCTTATGCTGAAGCTCATTCAGTTATCAACACCTAAAAAAAGCTTTTCTAAAGCAGATTTGGCTCTCATCATGCTGCAAATACAGAAAACAGATATAGGTACAATTTCACCGGCAGAAGCATGACTGGTTGGGAACTCTCAGTCACTTACTTTGACTTACTGATACATATGAAAACAGTTCAGAGACCACAGATTGATGCATTTATGGCAGCCTGTGAAATGATTCAAAAGATACGTGACAAGCCAGCCTGGACTCCTGTGGTGTGGTAGTAAGAGATGCTGGTGACTCAGAACCAGGTGATTTCCTCTTAACTGAGCTCTGATGCAACATTTTAACAATATAATGAAGAGCTGCATTTTGGCTGAGCTGGAAACCCCTCAAATTGCAATGAGCAAAGTCTTCATTAATTTGATACTTTATCAAACAAAGTGTTAATTCCAGATGCTGATTTGGCAAGTGGTCTCATTCCATCCTAACCTGGTCTCTTAAGGTAAAGGTAAACATATGGTCCTACTTCACCTCCCATGCCAAGCTGTTAGGGACCGGTGTTGTTGCTGCAAAACTGTACAGATTCCTTATCTTTCTCTTCAGGACACAGTGGTTCAAAGCCACCTGGGAGGGTTACAGTGACATAAAAAGAAATAGCATTTACATTGTATAAACAGCTTCTAACAACAATTTGCTTGGGTAAAGACAGGCTCTGTAATGAGATCAATTCCAAGCATTAGCACAACATCCCTGTAGTGCCCA